ACTCCTGATTTGGTATTAGATTAAGTACTATTAAACAAGTAACTAAATTTAATCAAAAAACTATAATGCAAATATGTACAGAGTGTTTCAGAATGAAATACCGTTAACTGGATGCGGTAATTCGGCGGATCCGGTATTAATATACTATTACCGGATCCAGTACCAATATACCGGATCCGCTGACCGGGTCCGGTGATTGCATATTTTGGTAAAATAACCGCGCTGTTGCATAAGTAGATACTTTAAAAGTGCGGTACTTGTGCAAGTGAGTCGTTTGAATGATTATTTGCTGAGAGTTAAGCCGACAAAAGTGTAGAAACTGAAAGAGCCTTCTCGGTCGCAAGCTACATTTTTCGCTCCATGACACAATCAACAAAATTTGTTTTTTAAGATCGTTTTTTCAAACAAAAAGTTAATTATTTGTTTAAAAACTAAATAGTTAAAATAATATAAATAGTTATTGTAATTGTTGTGGTTTGCTGTGCTATTCATTAGATAGATTCGGTAGCCTGTCATATATAAGAATAAAACTGAATAGAATTCTGAAATAGCTAACTATTGAAATTATTGTGATCTTAGTTAAGGTTAATTATTATTTTATGTTTAATTTAATAATTTTGATTAATAATTGCCAGTGCAATAAATAATGATACCACCAAATTCAATATTATGCTTAAGTTTCGGGAAAACCTAAATACTTCTAGCCGACAAGCAACTTTAGTGTTCGATATTAGCCATTCATCGATTATTTGAACATAAGGAGAAAATAAAATGCATCCCTATAAAATAATAGAAACTCAGGATCACAAGGAAGACGATTTTGATAGGAGAACGCAATTTTGTAAACAAATGATGACAATGTTAGATAATATGGTTAAAACATGTTTTGTTTCCTGATAAGTGTACCTTTACACATCACGGCCATGCTAATCTTAAAATTGCCGCTACTGGTCTAGGGAAAATCTTCACTGAATGAGAGTAGAACATAAGCAATACCTTAAAAAGGTTAATGTTTGGGCAGGAATTGTTGGCGATCATATGATAGGTCCCTTTTTCATTGATGGCAATTTGAATGGCCATAACTATTTAGCACTGCTACAAAATAATGTCGTGCTAACTTTAACGAACTTATATCCCAATCCAGCAAATCCACAAGTTCCAGTGAATATAATATGGTTTCAGCAAGATACTGCCGGATATTACCAAATCAATGTTCGGCAGTACCTCAATCAAGTATTTCCAGATCGGTGGATAGGAATGCGATGATTGATGAAATGGCCAGCACAGTCCCCTGATCTAACATCATTAAATTTTTTCTTGTGGGGTTATGTCAAAAGTATTGTATACAAAACTAAAACTTTCGACCTAGCTGACTTAAATCATTTTGACAATCTCCTTCATTAGGATGTTTTTTCTTTGTTATATTATCAACAAATAAACAGTATTGTTTATTAGTTTTTACGTGTGTTGTAACGAATTTCTGTAATCAAATAATTTTATTTTATTAATGTTACTTTTTAACCCCTCCATTTTTATTCAGATCTTAAGGGCCCCGCTCACCTCGTTCTTTTTCGCCGTTTTTAACCAACGGTTAAAAACGTTGGAAGGAACAACGTTGACTGATATCTTCACATACAACAGTTTTTTTCGCGCCAGTTTATCACGATGGACCGTTTTTTAGCAGTGGCAGCAGTTTTGGCAGTAGAAAAAAAATCGCGAAAAAAGAAAATCTCGAAGAAAATGGACTAAAGACTGGCTACTTAAATGCAGTACACTGTCACAAACAAATTTACTAGAGGAGCTAAGATTGGAGCCTGGTGATTGGCACAATTACTTGAGGATGGACGAGCATACGTATCGGAAACTGTTAAAACTTGTAACACCGTTAATTGAGAGACATAACACCCATTTACGGGAATGCATCAGTCCTCACGAACGCCTAACAGGTACTCTGCGGTTTCTGGCCACTGGTCGCAGCTACGAGGATCTGAAGTTTTCTGTTATTATTTCACCGCAGGCACTAGGACGCATAATACCCGAAACCTGCCAAGCTCGATAAACTATAATAAAAAATCTCTGTTCCACTGCCTAATATCCGACATTTTTATTATAACCAGTTGTAAATAATAATAAACAACAAAAACGTGCTGAACGTCACTGCTACTGATAAATGCCCGACCAGTCAAACTGTTGAGAACACACACCTCGTGTTTACTCGAACGGTTGGCACGATAACCGTCAAAAATCAGGACTCGCCTGAAATTTTGGAACGACGTTCATAAACGACGTTCTTGCCCATACACCTCGTTTTTGTGACATTTTTACCCTGACGATTTTAACCTTCGGTTAAAAACGGCGGAGAAAAACGAGGTGAGTGGGGCCCTTTAGACTTTATCTCCTTATAGTACTTGGTTAATATTGTTTCTCGTTCTTGATTTCTATTGGGTGTCCCAATGAAAAGTAGCCCATTTCCAGAGCTTATAACTTTTAAACCAATCGTAGAAACGTACGGTTTTTGCTGATATGTGTTATTTTGCTATAAGCTTTGCTTCAGTGACACAAAAATTATGTATTATGTTTTTTAAGAATGTTCTCTTTTAAATTCACCGTAACCAATTTTTATCAAATGGAAACGGCCTAGTTTACATTGGGACACCCTGTATTTAATGTTTAATTTTAGTCAATTTCCCTCTGGAAGTTGCTTAGGACATTTGGTAGGTTACACTATTCGAGCACCTAACACCCTTGTGCTTGTTTTCGGGTGCTCGTCAATACTGTCTAGGATAGCATGGTTTTTTGGATGACCACTGTTACCACGCACTTGTTATTTGTGTATTTTTCTTCATAAAGCCTTGCAGACACCACACCATTCTCTTCACATTCACCTAATTGCCAAATAAATAAAATATAAGTTTCCTACAATCATTATCTCCATAATGTTATTCTTATCTAAGACTAAATGCATATCTAACCATTTCAGAAAACTGTAATTATTCATTTTTAATCAATAGGTAAAAAGCAAAACTTTTGTCCACAATAACTTCATGTCAATATAAATATTAATAATCAACAAATAGGTAGGGAATGACTAACCAACGCCTACTCTTTTTTACAAAGTGAAAATATGTGACAAAAATTTACTTAAAACAGAGTACATAAAAGATTAGATCTGATCAAGTTGAAACCGCGTTAGTTTCTAATTTATGATAAAAACTTAAATGTAGAATACTTGCGAACCTTCGCTGTTTGCAAAAAACAATCTAGTGCCGTACAGCGTTCCCCGTTTGTAATTAAATTTTTTAATTTTTTTACTGTTTCATGTAGAAAGTGTAATATGTGTACAAAAAAAAAATTATCAAAAAAATCGATTTTTATTGTTAAAACGATGTAGAATGTGTATACAGAAAGGATTAGGTCATTTTGAACACTTGTTAAATTACATTATTGTATTTTGATATTAATAGTTGTAATTTAATTATAAACCTGATTTTAATATTTTTGCAAACGTAGAATTTACATTAAAAAATTTCAACAACCAAAAATTTAACAAACAAATACTAGGAGACCAAGAAGTTTTAAAATTGATGTTGAATTCAAGTAGCGTTCGATTTTCGAAAAAAAAATTGGGTGGTTAAAAGGACGATGTTACCTTGAAAACGCTACAAAAATTAAAAAAAAATATTGCCTTTACCTCGGCTTTATTAATCATTTTATTCTAACAGGCCATACAAAAATGTTAAAAGGTTTAAGAGCAATGTTAAAAAATTCATTTAAATTTTTAACCTAAACATCCTGTAACTTTTTGTATGTGCAATTGTGTACATAAGTAAGTAAGGTTTAATCGACTCATTTTTGATCAAGGAATATGTGTTATAATTTATGACCAATCATTTTGATACACCCTGTATAATAAAGCCTTGTTTTAAATTTAGATCTTATTTGGATAATACTTTTTACAATAAACTGTCTTTTTTCCGTATGGATTTCATTATGCTAGTAGTTATCCATTCCTTTATCTTAATCATTTTTTTAGATTGTTTAACCATTGTTTAAACATTAAAATCACTGAACTACGAAGAGGCGTGAACCATTTTTGCCCCCGCTTCATGGTACGGCCCTCCCGGAGATAAACAAAAGTCTGCGCCTATGTCTATCATAAATAACTATAAATTTAAATAAATAGTAGAAACTATGGGTAATTTTATTGCCGCATATTAAATTTCACTTAAAGTACATAAAAATTCAAATCAGTAAACTAATAATTCAACGAATATGGTGGTCTACTAAAAAGAAATTTCAACTGCAAACCGTAACCTCCCATTAAGCGCAAAGATCAAAACTTTTATTCGCTTATCGAGATAGATCATTTTTATGAATGGGTCACGCAAACGGGCTTTCAACAATTTAACCATGTCATGTTCTATTTGGAGCGCGTATTATGAATGAAATTGAAAGTCCGAGCCTACTTGAGATTCAGTCCATGGATTTATGCTCTCTAACAATGTGTTTTTGACTTTTGATATTTGAATAATAAGACCTCTTCGCTGAATAAATTCATTCTAATCGAGCTACGACCAGAAAATATGTTACAAAAAAGTCGACACTGAAAAAGTTCGAGATGAGCCGGATTCGGAAGATTTGAATCAGGGAAATTGTTTATAAGGAAAAATTTGTAAAAATATTAAATTTTGAATTATTTATGATAATTTAGAAATAAATTTATTATATTTTCTATTTTTTATATTTTAAGAAAAGGAGATGATTACAGTGTCTGTTTTACATAATCTGATATTTGAATCACATATTTCAGAAACTCCACATGTCAACATTTTGGGCATGTTGGGTTTTTACCGAAAATCAACTTACCTAATATAGATACATCTTTTAGAGAGAAATAAACAAAAGTCCGCTACTTGCTTTCCTTACAATTTATAATTGAAATCGTCATGTATTTTAGAAACCCCACATGTCCCGGACATGAGGGGTTTCTAAAATATACTGCTGGATGGTGCTGATAGGAGCCAATTGCAGCGCCAGGCAGTGACGTTTGACGTAAATATTTCAAATATAATTAGCAAAATGTCGTCGTCCGATGAAGATGTGATTCACGACAATATCATAACGAAACGAAAAAAGGGTGTTAAAAGTGTTGTTTATAACTGCGAAGTTATAAAAAAAGCAAGGGTGAAAGGCGAGGCATATACAAACTACAAAAGAAATGCAGTAAATGCTCGAGTCCAAGGTCAAAACTGTGGGTAAGTTATATGAATTTTTAACCTCACTTCTGCAAGAAATTAATTGGTTTCATAGTGACGACTACACGGTGTTAAATTTTTAGGCGTAGGGCAAAATGTTTTTCAAAAATACCCGAAGGTGATCGTGCTGAAATCTTCAATAAGTTTTATGATTTTACTACAAAAAATAAACAGGATGCGTATCTCCAGGCTTTGATAGAATGTACTCCAGTGACAAGAAAACGTCCACGAGTAAATCCAGAGGGTACGAAACCTAAATCGCATACTTTCAAATACAATGTATCTTCTAGTTCTGGTAAGTTTACCGTATGCAAAGCGACATTTATCAGTATACATGGCATGCATAACCACTGATCGTGTCCTGCGTTTGTCCAATCTACTTTCTTTGGGAAAATCTCTTAGAGACAAACGAGGAAAACAAACTTCTGGAAATGCCATACCAGGAGAAGTCATAAGATTGATAGAGGATCACATTAGATCTTTTCCAATCAAGCATGCTCATTACACTAACAGGGATTACCAATATTTAAGTGAAAAACTGGACATCAAGAAGATGCATCAACTTCTGCTTGAAAAATACCCACAATGTTCTGTAAAGTATAGTTTTTATAGACGAATTTTTAGAGAAAAATTTAGTTTATCTTTTGGAAGGCCCTAAGTGGATACATGTTGCACGTGCAAAGAACTTTCCAACAAGATTAACTCAAAGTGTTTAAACGATTTTGCACAATTGCTGTTGCTGAAAAGATGGTCCATCAAAGAAGAGTGAATAACTTTTTCACGAAAATGGAGTCAATTCAAGAGTTATGCCGAAACGATCCATCGGTTGGAGGGATATGTATTGAATACATGCAAAATCTCTCTCTTTTCCTTCAGTTCCTGTTCAGGGTACATTTTACCTACACCATCTGACAATAAACGTCTTTAATATCCATAACTTGAAAACTGGTGAGTCGTTCTTCTACATCTATCATGAAGGTTTGGGCAAGAAATGACCCAACGAGGTTTGTTCTTTTGTCATGGCGAGAAATTCTAAAACTGTTAAACATCTTTATATTTTTCCGACGGATGTCGCGAACAAAATAAGAATCACTGCGTTATGTGTAGGGCGCTAGTAGATCTTGGACGTTTTATGACTGTTAATCAGTATTTTCCGATAAGAGGGCATTCCTTTATGCCTTGTGATAGGAACTTCCCTGTTATTAAAAGAAATTTAAAGAAAAATAACAAAATTTTTTTATTGAAAGAATATACTGAACTCATCATCACCTCAAGCTCCATAAGAAGTTTTTCAGTTCATTTGATAGATGAAGAAAACAGCGTGTTAAAAGATTACAAAACATGGTGGCCCAAATTCTACAAGAAAAACTGCTTGTCTACACCTTCCTTAGGTAGAGGTATACCAAAAGATGAGAAAGTTTCCTTCACAATGGGTATAGAAGATGAAGATGTTGTCTAAAATTAAACATTTAGTTAATCATGTATCCATTAAATTAAGTTGTTCATAAAATGAAAATAAATAACTAAAAAATTTCTGTGCAAATAAACGTGTTTTTTAGAAACCATACATGTCCAGTCGCAATTTTATGCTTTTATTGATGCAGCAAAAGCTGTTTATTTAAATTTGCGTGAAATTTCTAACATACCTTCACAAACCCTAAAAGTATATTTCCAGTTTTATAATATGATTTTGCATAAAACAGTTTTTTTCGTTTTTCTCAAAACTTATTCGTGGACATGTGGGGTTTCTCAAATATGTGATTCATTTAGCGTATACCTATTTCTATTGTTTCCAGTATTTTAAAAGAATATAATTAATTATTCGAATATAGGAGGTTTTCATGGTAGCTAGAAACATTTTTGACTATTATCATTATTTCCATCATTTTTAACATCATTAATCAATATCATTATTATTAGTGATATTTATTTTAGTAGCTGGTTGTACGTAAATGTTTTCCTGTTTCTTTTTCTATGCCTCATATTGTATTATTACAAAACATGTATATCAAAGGGGAGGGGGGTCATTGCCTTTAGCAATTCTCTTTTTAGCATATTTTTATGAATAAATAGTCCATAAATCGTAAGAATTTTAATCTCGGGGGGGCATGGCTCCCATAGTCGTCCCCTCCCCTCCTGGAGTCGCCATTGGGTCTAGGTAATAATGATACCCAATACCAGATACCAGAAATTAGGTTTAATTTTTTCAGTTCGTGTGATTCCAAAACTATTTGAAAAAATATCTGCAAGAAGAAAATTATTAAAAAATCACTTGAAGAAAGAAAAGTTTTCTCTGCTATCTAGTTAGATGTAGCGCAAGTTTTCGACAACGTATGGTATGAGTAACTTAAACATAAATTAATCATGTCATTGTCCGACAATACATACAATTAATTTGGAATTATGTTTCACAGATAGATCATTAAGAATTAAGCAGAATTAAGTTTATTCGGAACCAAAAATAACCAAAACAGTAGTACCACAAGGAAGTGTAACGTTCTATATTGACACAAATAACGGGTGTCCCAAAAGCCACTAGGCGATTTAAAAATGTAATAAATTCTGATATGTAAGACATTTTAAAATTTTTGTTTCAGATTTATAAACCAAAAGCTTGGGGGATTTGTTATGGAGAAATTCATCGTCGCCTAAAGAGTCGCTATTTTGTGGAACTCTATTTTGAACACCATCGATCAATTACAGTAACACACAGAGCAATATTTCGCAAGAAATTCTTCCTCGGAAATGACTATAGGCAATTTTATTTAACGTTTTCGACAACAGGGATCTATAGCCAACCTCATTCGGTCAGGTCGACCACAGAAGAAAACATTTAGCATGTAGAGGCCAACCAAAAAAAAGATGCGAGAACATCAATTAGATGCACTTACATTTAACTAGAGCTGTCTTGATCCAGTCTACATAAAATTTGGAAGCATTTGCGCATATCTGGCTAAAAAAAACAGCTTATTCATCAGTTGCGTCCTATAGAATTCAAACAGCAAACTGAAGTTGCCATTCGTTTTCAACAGTTGTGTAAAGAAGTTATGGTTTTCTGAACAGATTAATCATGAGTGTCGAAGCACACTTCCATCTGAATTACTTTGTAAACAAATATAACTGTAAATTTTGGGTAACAGAAAATCTAAACCAACGAATCATTGGACCATTCCGAGTCGATGATGACGATAAACAAAAAAAATAGTGAAACTGTTACTGTTCCAAAAATGTTTATGTCCTGCTCTAGAAAACATGTCAGAGCTCACATAGCCAGAACAACTGATAAGTGGAATTTTTGGCAATCTAATAACTTCGAGATTTTTCGATATTCCGCACCCTGAACGTTCGTCTGACCTAGCAGCTTTTAATATTTTCCTGTGGGGTTATCTCAAGCAAAGAGTTTATGCGAATAAACCTAGAACCTTCGACCAAATAAAGAATATCCGAGAAGAAATACGGCTTTTAAAGGTGCAAGTTCTAACATCTGTCCTGGAAGACGCGCTAAAAATAGCGAAAACTGAAAGTCTTTTTAAAAATTTGATCTTTAAGAACTAGATAAAAAAAACTCCATAAAATGTATTTACTAAAAAAGTTGAATAAAATATTTGAAAAGATATAATTATTTTCTCCTAATGACTTTTGGGACATAGAACCTGCTGCAGTATAGTGATAATTATTTTTGTCTTTTTTTGTAGATGGCACGAAAAAACACTTTTTATTTAATATCGCCAAAATTAACTTATGTTACAATTTTCCAATTTGGTACTGTAATTTTTCCAATTTCAATTTATATAGTTTTAGTTTTCATAAGTGAATTGAATATTTCAGACACAAAAACAATATAAAATGTTTATAAAATTATAACCCAATTCAATTTTTAAATATTCTGTCACTGTCAGTTTGACAGCGCATTGAAAAGTTTTACTATTTAGAGAATTGATGTTCTATCTACATCGGTGCTCTGATGATTTCAAGGTATCCTGGATGGTTTAACTGTTATTCCTCAGTACATTGACCTTTGGATTTTGTTACTCCTGTACACGTCAAACTTCCTAAACCAAGCCGGATAAATTTTCTTAAAACCTTACCCTGGGCGAAGTTGTCGCTATTGTCGTTGTCCATGAGGAAGTTGATACCTGTAGTTTTAATATAAATCGACGTTTTTTTGTATTACATTACCGATATCACATTTGTCGGACAAAAAACACGTGGCTTTGGGTGTGGGGGGGAAATCCGATGCCCCCAACATGTCGCTTTAGCGTCCCTAAGGAAGTTGATACATGTACGTGTAGTTTTATTGTTATTCGACAGTTTTTTTATACAATATTAACAAAATCACATTTGTCGGACAAAAATCACGTGGCTATGGGGGGTCTGACACCCCCAACAGTTTATACATGTATGTCCGATAAAAATAATTATGAATAACAATATAATTTTAGTATTGACATCAGTCGGACCACAAAAGCCTAAAAAATAGTGTAACCACGTAGCATACTCCATATATACTCCTCCACGGGGTTTTTGTCCGACAAATGTGATTTCGTAAATGTTATATAAAAAATCGTCAATGACCATTAAAACTACATGCACATGTATCAACAATCTTAGGGACGCCACAGCGATATGTTGGGGGGTGTCGGACCCAACCCAAAGCTACGTGATCATTGTCAGACCAATGTGATCGTTAATTTAATATAAAAAACCGTTGATTCTTATTTAAACTACAGATATATGAATCAACTTCTTTAGGGACGCCAGAACGACAACTTTACAAGAGCTAGTTCTAAAATTTACCATCCCCAGGGAGAAGTATATGAAGGAAGTTTGGCGCGTACAGGACTTAAAGGAGTTACAAAATCCAAAGGTCAATGTACTGGGTACTATGTCAGAAACTCTCTTCTCTTTTCTTTGCTTCTGGTATTTTGTTATATTTGGGGTTATGTGGCATCAAACTGAAGCAACAAATAAAGACGAAAAGCCGTCCTTTCTGACAAAGCTTCTACAAAGAGCACCACTAGTTATGTGAGTTGGAAATTATTTTAAAAATTTAAGCAATACAGGTCATCTCGAGTAAAGAGGTAAACACTAAATTCAATTATTTCATTCAAATTTAAGGGTTTGTTGTGTTATTTTTAGATCTGACAGCCTTATTTTTGTTTTTCTTTGCTAAAAGAAGAAAAATAAAATCACATTTCAATTGATTGGTTTTAAATTTGATATAGTTTTTCTTTCTTTCATTATGTTCAGCATAAGTGTTTTTTGCTGTGCGATTTACTGCCTGAGAAATTTTTCTTCATGAGAGAGAGTAAGTAGTAAGTCTGTTCTCCTCATGATGATGATCTTTGAATCCAAATTCTTTGTTTAGTATACGAGGAATTCCAGTTATCCTGACCATAATGGGAATGCTTTTCAAGTGATAAAAACCAAGATAGAAGGTAGATAGAAGGTAGATAGAAGGTAGATAGAAGGTAGATAGAAGGTAGATAGAAGGTAGATAGAAGGTAGATAGAAGGTAGATAGAAGGTAGATAGAAGGTAGATAGAAGGTAGATAGAAGGTAAATAGAAGGTAGATAGAAGGTAGATAGAAGGTAGATAGAAGGTAGATAGAAGGTAGATAGAAGGTAGATAGAAGGTAGATAGAAGGTAGATAGAAGGTAGATAGAAGGTAGATAGAAGCCAATAGATTCAACTTCTGAACCAGTAAATAGAATTTGCTAAATACGTCTTATATTTGTGTTTAATATTTTTTTTCGTATATTTATTATAAGGGCTAAGATGATGTAGATGACTAATAAAACAAAAATAAAGACTTTTTCATTCACATGCAAGTTTATTTTTTATTTATAAGTACAAGCTCAGGAATTTATGTTTATATTATACCAGTTAACACTAACTGTCTTTACCGTTTAAAATAAAACTCTGGTGGTAGAATTTCACGGTTTTAAATCATATTTGTTCGACTATAAAGCATAAGCATTCTGTTGTTTATTTCATGGATATTAACCCTATTTGTGTGACTGTACAGTGTGACAATTTAAAAACTTATAATAGGTTTTATCTCACAAAAGAAAGATATCAAAAAATGCTTAAAACCGTTTCTAGGATAGGCAGGGTGGACTAAAATGACATAAAAGAAAA